AGCTTCTACCTGCGAAGGCGGCTGCTGACAGAGGGATTCGCCTCTCTTTTGCCTGGTTGCTTAGTAATAAGTTACTGAGAACCTGGGGCTGTGATGACATTCAAGGTGTGCCTCGGGGGAACGGCCTGAGTCACAGCTCAGGCCTGGGACCCCCTGGACGCTGCCCCAGGGCCATCCCCGCAGGCCTGCAATGCCAGGGATTTTCAGTGGGGCATCTCTCCGCTTCCAAGTTGTGCTTCTGTCGTGCGGATGAGCTGGAGTAAAAGCCAAACCCTTTCTCCTACGATTCAGCTTTGTCATTTTCAAAAGACACCACCGGACTTGGTGACAAACAGGTGGTTAAAAGAAAGTGCTTCTATTTTTTTTTTTTTTCACATTTTTTAAAATAGGCAACCGAGGGGTGCGGTGAACGGGGCTGGCTTTTGCTAGGAGGGAGCCCCGCCTTCCGCTCTCATCCCTTCTGACTGATGCAAAATAGCTTAGTCCAAGGAAAGGGGAGAAGACAGAACCGGCTGCTGCCAGGAAAAACACACTCTGATTCAGGACATTTGCTCTGTTAACGTCCAAGGCTGTGATTCCCAATTAACTAATTTTAAGAAGTTGTAACTGAAAATAGCCACATCAGGCCCGAAGTCAGTGTTTGACGAAGATTAGGATCATCGAGCGAGAGAACAGGGCCCCTAACGGGCGGCGCATCTGTGTAAAATCACCTTGCTAATAGGGGACACCTCCGGCCGGGCTTACAAGCGGGGTTTAGCCCCTTCGGAGAAGCTGCGTGGGGTGAGAGGGGAGGGAGGGCCCCCCTAAACGTTCTGGCAACAGCAAACGCTCCACAAATCGGATTTGTGTGCACTCAGGTTACTAATGACAGAAGCATCCACACTGGTGAGTCTCTCTGGGGCAGAGACGCGCCCCGCGCTCAGGTGGAAGTCGTTAGAACAGGCGTGTCCTCTGCAGTTTCCCGCTCCCTCCCGGAAAGGCCTGCGCGGCTGAGGAGAGCGGGCCAAGAACGGCTCCGCCAGCCTCTCCCCTTCCTCTTCCTTCGCATCGAAACGGAAAGATAGAATAATCGTAATTCTCTGAGAAAAGCAGGACGCTCGCGGTGTCTGCACCATCGCAAGTGCTTCCGTCACTTAGGAGAGGGTTAAAATAAAAGCATAGAGGCTCCTAAAGATCAAGGTCGTGACTCGCTAACGAAGTCGCGAATTATCCAGAAGGAAACTACGCCGAGGGAGGCCCGTGCTGAACGGCAGAGCCTATTGTCTCTGAAAGTTCGGGGAGGGCCCTGTGGCATGAAGGCCCCACGGGGCAGCGGGACACCAGCCGCTCATGCTGTCTTGTCACCTGGTGAGTTTCTGGTTTCAGATAAAAGAGGAGAAAGGGCCCTTAAGAAAGAAAAGAACCGGAAAAAAAAAAAAAAATCAAACTTCCTTCTCGGAAAGCTAAGGGCTGTTTTCCCGGAGATGATGCATAATGGCATTTCCACTTTTTGAAGTTTTAAGTAGAGAAAATGGAGAGAAAATCATGGAGAGAGAAGAGAATATATACAGAACGTGAACAAGGTGAAATTTCAACAGCAGCTTCCCTCCACTTCCTTCTTTCTTTACTTTTTCTCTTAATTTCTCTTTCTTTCTCTTCCTTCCTTCCTTTCTTTCTCTCTCTCTCTCTTTTTTCTGAAATCTTAACTGCATTTCTGGCTTGCATTTGGTAGGATTCTTGCTCTGGCTTTTATTAAAAACAGACTTTATGTGGTCAGAATCCTCCATCCAAAGCTAAACTTTAATAGGCGTAGGGTCCTGACAGTCTTTCTTGCTCTCTCAGC